CTTACTAATCGCTAAATTTATTAAAGTCTTAATAGAAACGTAAATCAAACTTGGTCCAACTCTGAGTCTGCCTTCAAATTTCCACCGGAACCACCCTTGATGCTATCTTCATCATGGCTAATGGGTTGATACCATTTTGCAAAGATCAAATAAAGTACGAAATCGATAGCAGCCAATGTAGCAATCAGAAAATAAAACCGATCCATATGACCTTCATTGAGATTTTCCGGTATCCACCCGGGTCTATCCGGGCCTCTCGCGGTTATAGCCATAACAATATTCACCATCAAACTACTCACATAGTTACCTAATGCCATTGAAGCCATACACAATGAGCTTCCTAAGTTCTTTAACCCATCTGGAGCTTGTCCATTGAAGAACTCTAATTGTCCAACGTACATGAACACCTCACTCGCACCAACAAGCACGTATTGTGGTATTTGCCATAAAATGGTCAGCTCACTCTCCTTTTGCCCCGGGACTATTCGTCTTAGTCGTTGGATCTCGGTTAATCCGGCAGCCACCATTGCCATTATCCCTATGATAAGCCCTATCCCCATCCGCATAAGTTCCGTGGGTCTCACGTATGGAAATATGACGTGACGGTAAATTCCGGTTGATACTAAGACGCTACATATATCAAAAACCGACATGCTCGCTGCGGGGATGTGGAATTTCCCGATGTAAGCATCCATTACATCACCTTGCTCCACGAACAATGATGCCATTTGTGTGAAGATCACTGAGTATATTATAGTGCATAGCCATATTGGGAGCATTTTCATCACACATTTTGCCTCCTCTACTTGTGTTAGACTGCACAACCGCCACGCATTGCTCTCGTTCCTATACATGGATCAAGCAAATTTCGTAAGTAAAAAGTTGAAGAATTTGAACTCTGATGGTGACACAAAAATGCATTACCTGTCTCTCTCTGTAACCACTGCTGCTTTATCCAAGAAGAGAAATTTGCTACTATGAAATATCTTTCGACTTCCTTTAATGGCGGATTCAGGTCCTTCGACTTCATACAACGCCTCGGGGTTTCCTGGTCGAACAACCCTCCATTTCCGAGCAGTAGCCACGAACACTTGCGCCACACGTGGCAAAGGGTTCCCACACGGCTTGACATACCGATAACGTCTAGTCGGAGCCAGAAAAGCCATCAATGCGACAATCGCCGAGCCTAGCGACACCAGAAACCCTTCGGTCCACAAACCTCTGTCCTCAAAGTAAACAAGAATTGTGTTCGAGAAGAGAGATCCAACGTTTAGGGCAAAGTAGAAGTAGCTGAAAAACGCAGCTTTGTTGTTTTTATCTTCACCAAACTGGTCTGCACCGAAAGTAGCCAGTGTTGGCTGGTGACCTCCATAACCAAACGCTATGAGATAAACTGATAGATAAAATATAGCAACGCCAAGGGAAGAAGAAGGATTGCAGATAAGGTCTCCATTGCCACAACCTCGAGGTTTGATCAAGAAAAACCAAGAAGCGAAAGAGAGGAGGCCGATACCGAGGACGAAGATGACTTGGAAGATGGTGCATGTCAAGTAACGTCCCCAATAAGAGTCGCTAAGAAATGCACCCACAAGGGAAAACATGTAAACTGTTCCTGTCCATTTGCTTACGTTGTTCGCAGCCTCGGCATTTCCTTGTCCGAGAACACGTGTTAGGAACAACACCAAATTTACTCCCACTCCAAAAAACGCCAATGTCGCTAACCCTTGATTTGCTGCATAAGAAAAAATGATTTTTGTCAGTTAGAAGTAGACAAAGGCGAACCCATGACTAACGATAAGGAAATAACAAAAGATGTGCTCCAAGTCCTTGGGCTCTTGAACTGAATTCAACTATGGGGTCAAGTGACACCGTAAGATTTAGAAAATTCACGTTTTATCTCTTGTCATATATCTAAAATTAGCCTAAATTAGCCTCTTGGCTTGTAATGAACCCATATATTAAAAATTAGCTTTTTAACTTTTTTAATTAACTTTTTTCGTTACATATTTTTTGTGGAAATTTACATATTTTTTGTTTCCTCGAGTAATTTTGGTTTTCTTTTTGGAAACCTAGTCAGTTACTTGTACACGTATGTTCAATTATGAACAATAATTCATTTGTACATGTGTTTTTATAATCATTTTTTTTTAAGAAAATGATTTTGTTGAAGTTGAACGGAATGGTTTGCTAGTTGTTTGCTACTTGGAATGGTTTTAAACAATAAACAAAGCTGTAAAATTTTGG